TAAGAACTTGACGCTTCAAGTTCTGGAGAGAAGGATAACCAATGCGACAATGATACTAAAATAAAGATGATGAGGTCTGAATTACTCGAAGAGATGGATCAAGGTCAAAGTAATAGAGACCACTTCATGCTCTATCCCAATCTTCCTCTTCGCAAAGAGATCCTGAAAAATACAATAAGGATAAAAGGTTATTGAACAATTAAGCGAGCAGGTAATCTTGCTAATAAAAAATAAACTGAATGGAAACTAAGAAATAAATAAAACAAAAAATAAGGACTTATCAGGAGTCAATTGAGTAGTTTCCAAACCTGAAATTTTAAACGAAGTACCATTAGCAAGAGTAACACAACGAGAGAAAATAGCGGAATGATAAAAAGACACCAAACGAACCCGTCATGTGATTAGAAGCGCCAGAGTCTATGATCTAGCAACTGCGGGTGGAGGACAGCAAACAAGTGGAAGCGGGTATCTAATTGAGCAAAATAGCCGTGGAGGAAGATGAGGCTGCCAATTGTTGAGACATGAACTAAGCATACTCGTTTCGTGTAATAGTAACTAATTCAGAGTCGAGAGGAGGCAAACAAAATGGTAGTGTAGGTAATGCAGAAGTATTGTCCTGATAGGAGACTTGATTAGCAGCACCAGATGGCTTGTCATATAAATTTCAACAATAATCAACAGTGTGGTTGGTACAATGACAATGAGTACATACACAAGTACCAGTACGACCTCCACGGCCTCCATTACGGGCCCTTCCACCACGATTGCCACGGCCACCTCGAGTACTGCTATTGTTGCCATTATATAGAACAAGAGTTGAGCGATCAACAGAAAAGCTATGATCAATGCCTAAAGTCAAATGGCCAATAAACTAAGTAGAACATAGTAAATGGGAAAAGGCCTTGGGAAGAGATGGAAGGCTAGAGCCACCCAAGAGCTGAGCACGGATAAGCTTATCATCAAGCTTCAAACCAACAAGGAAATGAACATCCATATCCTTATGCTATTGCTACAGAAGTGTAGCATCAATGGTGAACGGGGGGGTAAATTCTCAATTACTCACAAACTCCCCTAACTTAATTCTAGTCTTTCAAACTCAAAGTACCCTGCTCAATACGAAAATATTATTTGAAGATCTCATAAGCACTAGAAAAATTACCAGTGCCAAGATACATGATTCCCAAATGGTCTCAAATGGTCTCAAATTTCCTTATCGAGATAAAGCAATGTAGAACTAATACGAGACTCAATGATATTTAACAGTAAAGAAATATTATGTGTATCCTCTTGTTCCACTGATCGAATCCAATGTCACTTTTCTTGGGTTTCTTGCCCACCAAATACTTTTTATGGCCTTTGCCTTTAAGAAAGACTTGAACTAAGCTGGACGATAAATTATACTTAGTCTTGTTGAGCTTGACATTAGTTGAGTACTTCTTCTTGTCTATATTTGAACCAACATTAAGTTGATTGAGAGGACATGAGTTTATAATGCTTTATTAGACATATGCTAGAATACATATTTACAACCTATGAAGCATGGACAGTCTCAAGAAGGTAACTTGTCTGTGTTGGACCCATGTCAGACACCGACACTTCTTGGATACTCTCAGATACGTGTCCGATACTCTTTTAAACGTGTTCATAATTAAATGATAAAATTTTAATTTCAAACACATGTCCGACACTTCTTTTGTGAAGCGTCTGATAATTCTTTAGACTATGTCTATTAGTAAACAATAAATATGTGCTGACAGTTGATTAACAAAGCATAAAAATTTGACAAATAATTATCTAATACTATGAGAGAGCATATAATTACAAAGATTAGACTTGTTAAAGTTGTACTTAAATTATATAAATTAAAGCAAAAGATGCATATACGTTTGAAAAAAGAGGAATTGAAAAAATGAAAACAATCATTTAAATTATAAACACTAGGTGAGTAGACAAAGTATTCACTTATCATAAAGTACAAAACTTTTAATGAATAATATATCATTATCACTATATTTATGATAAACAATATAATTTTACATATATAACACAATTATCAGTAGCGTGTTCACGTCCTACTTTTTAAACAAATGTCATGTCTGAGTGTCTATATCGTGTCGTATCCGTGTCCAAGCTGTTTATTGTGCAACAAAAAAAAAGGTGTATAAAAAGTCTTCCTTATTGAGCAAGTTGTATAATAACAATGCCAATCCACTAAAAAGGAAAAATCTTATCTCATGGTTTGTCCTGGCTTTGCCATCCAAAGCACGATTTAAGAAATATTTTAGCTATATGCTTTGTGGGCTTCCATCATTAGAATCAATCTTTTCGTGCAGCATGCAATATTTATATTTATTTGGCATAGAATATTCAAGCACTCAAGGATGAGCCAAGGGTGTCCTAGGGTTCATTGCAAAAAAAAAAAAAAAAAGAAAGATGATCCACCAAATGTATCAATGTCTCATTGTTTTATAATTTTCAAAAGAAACCAAGAACTTTCGCAGTCATTTAGAATTTCATAAGCGATGCACAAGATATTTTAAGGACAAGCCATGACAACGACAAAAAAACCAAGAGCTAACATTGGTACACAACAAATAAGGTTCCATTATGTTAATGGAATATTGGTAATAACTTAGAAACAAGTGCTTAAAAAATTTTGTCTTGGTTCCTAGTACAAATAGGCTAAGTAAATTCAAAGACACTGTCCACGAGTTAACAAAATACACACCATGAGCGCGCGCAAGAGAGAGAGGATATTGATTGATTTCAATAAATGCCCTTACTTGGATGTCCTTGAGAATCTTAGAGCACGCATTGTGTTTCCAAAAACTTAATTGTTCTCCACTCATTTCCTATCAAACGATGACAAGTGAAGATATAGGTATTGCAATTGTTTCCATGCCATTTTTATTCCATGAACCTGCATTGCCAAGAATTCCGCATGTTTCCGTACCCCATTTCCTCAAAATGGGGTGTTTTCAAGGAATCAAAAGTATCCAAAGTTTTGACAAAATGGATGTTTGTTATCTTATCCACTACCCCCCCCCCCCAACAAAGCTATCCTCCTAGTTAATCTCATCTCTCCATAGCATTTATTTAGGTAGCATTCTTTTGTGGGTGGACAAGATTTCACAAATCCTAGGATTTGGAGATTTTGGTGTTCTTTTGTTTCAAATCTCAAAAATATCTCTATCCCATGGTGCCACAAATCCCGAGTTAAGTGGCATTCTAAAATACTGTCCAAACAAATATGATTTCAAAACTCTCGCATTTCCAAAATCGCACTATTTACCATTACTTTCCTACATACGTCCCAATTAAGTTTTCATTTACTATTACAAACTTTCCCTCCATGTCTGTTTTTTCCACAGGTTAGAGAGATCTTTTGTTATCTCTTGTTAACTGGAAAGCATTGACTAGAGAAGTGCAGAGTTTTCTTGTTGATTTAGGGAAAAGAAATACATAATATTTGAGATTATTATAAGTGAAATAAGAAAAATGCAAGGATCAAATGTATTATGGTTTTGACTTTGAAGAATTAACACATCATAAATAAGTATATCATGAAATTTCTATGAACATATTTGCAGATATTCACTTGTGAACAGTTATATGTTTTTTAAATATTTTCTTCAAAAAAAAAAAGGTAAAAAACATAAACAAAAACTATAACTCCAATGGTGCAAGTGCAAAGCACATGGGTGGCAGCTAGTAAGATGGTAAAGTTGTTAGACATAGTCGATCCTTCGAATTCTTTGGAATTCACATTTGAAATCTAGGTTAAAAGAACACGTGTATCAATGTGTCACATCAATTCAAAATCTAATTTCAAAATCCCATGATCTTCAAATCCTCTTTATTCCTCAATTCTATAAAAAAAGAACCAAATAAAGAGGATCTTTGAATATTTCTATTTTTTTGACAAGAAGACAATGTCTAAAAGTGAAACAAAACAGGCCCTTAGTTTTCTTGAAGTAATCCATGTAAATAATTTATTCAAAATCTACCTTCATAATCTTTTCAATAATATGACCAGACAAAACAAAAAGTAAATCTCAAGTGTTTCTTCCATTGTTATTTAGCTGTTCCACAAAGGATTAAATAACATCATGAAAATAGAAAGAGAAGATTTATCTCCGGATACCAAATTACGGATTTACCTTAATGAATAATGATTCTGTCTCACTAAAACAGTGGATAGACAAACATAATATTTTCAGCATCATAAAACAGCATGGTAACCTTTTTCCACCAATTCGCCCATTATACTCATAAAAGATGGAACAATAACCTAGTCATGGCAATCGTTCAACTGCTAAATGCCACAGTCATAAGATAGTGACCACTTCATATTTCAGAAGTTTGAAATTTAAAAATCTTCTGATAAAAGCTACCATCAAGTGGAATTCTTATTTCAAGGCAAAAAAAGGAAAAGGAAAAGGAAAATATAAAAGAAGAATTGACATGATCTAAATTATGACATGATCTAAATCAAGACATGTTAACCCACCAACTCTTCTTAAGGTTTAACTACCACAGAAGGTTGCAATAAAGGCATTAATCTCAATACTAACACTGACATCTGGCCGTGCACAATTGCATTGAGTATGATGAGAGGCATTGTTGAGTGTAGATTGAGCTCACGACCTTATGACTCCAATCCAATCCAATAAAATGTTAAACAACCAAATCATCTAAAAGATTATGCTGAAATTAGGACATAAATATAGTTATTTATCTTAATAGAATACTACTGCATTTTCTTTTAATTTCACCAAAACAAATTCGCCCAAGATAGAAGTTCGCAACCACCAGAAAATTTTAAAGTAAGGTCAATGCAAGCAAAGTTCAAAACATACCTTTTCCTAGGAAAAGTTGTAGACTTCATGCCACACGCTGAAATTTTCCCACTGAAACGTGATTTGTTGTTCCAGTTCAATACAGTATGACAACTTTTGAAGATAGCGTATGGATTTTCACAGATTTCATTTGGTCGCATTCTAAAGGCCATGAACTGCTGACAGAAATAAAAATGCAAGAATAAATTAGCTCATATTTTGACATCGCGACCGAAATAAAGAAGGGTTACTATCCAACTTGATCCCATTGGGATGAATGGTTAACACCAATTGGAGGAACCCACTAACTTTTTGGGAATTTGTAACAAGCCTACTACCCACAACAACATTTTTGCACTAGTTCTCAGAATTTTGAATTACAACTAACATAAAATTGAGGAAGAGATGAATTTAAGTAACTAATGAATAGATAAAGTTCACTTACTAGGATACGAAACAATGATAAGAACCGAGAAGTAGTAGTGGCATTTGACAATTTGAAGGTCAATGATGTGGCCATAGTCGAGGTGCACTTTGAGAAGAAGAGAGTTGCCCCTCTCTCTCACAACCACACACGCACCGCTCACGTCCTCCCCGTTTCTCTTTGATGTTCTATCCAAGAAATCAGTGTTATTTAAGGCGTAAAGTGAACCGAAGCGACCAAGGCTCCTAAAGCCTAGGCGAGAAGCGAAACAAAACGTTTTACCAAGCGAAGCGAGCAGTTAAAAAAAAAGTAAATATTTTAGTTTAATTACTTCTAAACATCTAAATTCTAATTTTATATATACTAAATATTTAAATGCAAGTAAAACTATAAACATTTAAATTAAAACAAACACTAATAATATCTCAAATATTAATAACAATCATAGCTTAAACATTTAAATTCAAACAAACACTAATAATATCTCAAATCCTAATAATTAAAAACATAAGACACACACCGCAGTCAATGTGCTGATGGTAGGATGGCAACCCCTCCCTCCAACACCCTAGTAAGAAGGTGTTGTGTTATTGTTAAAGTATATCAACCATAGTTGTTTTTGTAAATCTATTTTTATGTACAGTCGTGGGCTTGTACACATGTACTGAATCACATTTCATAACAGACTGGTAAACAATTTTATATTGACTGGTCTTCAAGCTTGGATCATCAAAACAAAAAGTGACTATATGACAGAACTACGAAAGCAGAACAGCACTATCAGAACAGTAAAATCAGCACTATCAGAACAATAAAATCAGCACTATCAAAACAGCAGAAGCAAAAAAAAAAAAAAAAACAAAAGTAGAAAAAAAATCTCAACATGAGACAATCAGCAGAAGCAGAAAAAAAAAACTAGAAGAGAGTCGAAGAGCCAGAGAAACAAAAGAGAGAAAAGAGAAAAGAAGAAATAGCAGAAAAGAAGAAGAACCAAAGAAGAAGTAAAAAAGAAGAAGAGAAATAAAAGAGAGAAGAAAAAGAGACAAAGACTAACCTGTGTGTCTGACCAGCAGCAGTCGTCGTCTGTGTCCAGCCAGGAAGGAGCAGCAGAAGCCAGCAATCGTGTCTGATCATATGAGCAAAATTAGGGTTTGGGGGTTGTATTTATGGGATAAGGGGATAATTCGGTGTATGGGCATCTTATAATTTTTTTTTCAATTGTCCAATCCAACAGTTCATAATAAAAATAAAACAATCCAAGACAACTTCGCCTCGCATGACTAAGGCGTTCGCTTTCTCGCCTTTAGCTTAAGCGCGAGGCTCGCTTCAGTCACATTCGCTTTGTCTGGAGTGCTTAAGGCGAAAGACCCTCACTTCGCTTCTTGTCTAGGCGAGCTTTCAAAAACACTACAAGAAATAATATAACCAGCAAACTAAAAACTCCTTTGATTGTTAAATTTTGAGATTTTCACCAAATCCATTTCTCTCAAAATCTTAATTTTCAAAATCATCACTTATAAACTTATTTCTCAAACCCAGTCACCTTTAAAAAATGACATCTTTAACACAAAACGTCAACGCAAAAATGGGTATTTCAAAAACATCACTTAAAGTAACGATATGAATTATTTGGTACAAAAAACTCTTCCAACAGTTCGTGGAAGTCTACCAACAATGTTCGCACAAGAATGTGCATAAGCAAGTTTTTGCAGCTTTTGACTTGTGGGTCCCATTAGCATGTGAATTGGGAAAAAACCTAAGGTAAATACATAATTTTCCAATTGAAAAGATAAAATACACTTAACTCCCTTCTAGTTTTTGAACTGGACAACATTAACTAAGCAAAATGAATTTTATTGGATTTCATCTTCTAAATAACTCAATTAAATTACATTTAGAAAATTACACCTTATTTAAAAACATATTATATATTATATATGTGTGTGAATTTTGTGTGAATATATAAAATAGTAGGATGGTTGGATACTTTGATTTTTTTTGTTAACATGTCTTTCTTGTAAAGATTAATTTTTAAAAAGCTAAGAATATAAAGGGTAAAGTGGGTATCTAAAGTGAAATGGATGACATCGACAATTGACCAACATATGAAAAATGTGTTACTCATTTTCATATTTCAAGGGTTATGAGAATAATTTCAAAAACAATAAAGTGTCAATGAAATAGTCAAAAACTAAAAGGAATTTAATTGTAATTTACCCTTTCGTAACCTACACTACACAATGAACGCAAATTTATTGGATTTAGCAAAAGGGTGGAGTCCATTTTTTGTAATACAATTAGCATTTTTGTAATTGACATTTTTTATCCTTTGGTTTCTTTACCGCGTCACTTTAATTGACGTTTTTAAAAATGTCATTTAAAGTGACCTTTTTATTTAAAAACGTCATTTCAAATGACGTTTTTTGTGTTGAAGACATCATTTGTAATGACATTTTTCCAAAATAACAAGAGTTTGAAAAATAAGTTTAAAAGTGACTGATTTTGAGAATTAAGATTTTGAAGGTAATGGGTTTGGTGAAAAGCTCCAAATTTAACGATCAATAAAGTTTTTAGTTTGTTAGTTATATTATATCTTGGATAGGACAGCAAAGAGAAACGGGAAGGATGTGAACATTATGGGTGGGTGGATGAGAGAGAGAGGGGCAACTCTCTTATTCTCGAAGTGCACCTCAACTACTGCCACGTCATTGACCTTCAAATTGTCAAATGCCACTGCTATTTCTCAGTTCTTATCATTGTTTCGTATATTATTCATCTCTTCCTCAATTTTTTATTAGTTGTAATTCAAAATTCTGATAATTAGTGCAAAAATACTATTGTGGGTAGTAGCTTTGTTACAAATTCCCCAAAATTAGTGGGTTTCTCTAATTAGTATTAACCAATCCAGCCAACCAAATTAAGTTATATAATAAACCTTCTTTATTTTAGAAGCCATGTTAAAATATGAGCAAATTTATTCTTGAATTTTTATTTCGGTCAGCAGTTTATGGCCTTTAGAATGCAAGCAAATGAAATCTATGAAAATTCATTAGTTATCCTCAAAAGTTGTCATCCGGTTAAATTGTTGTTTTTGTCAATGAAATGATAAAAAATATTATATAAATTTATCATGTTTGCATACATACAAATTTTGAGCCAAAAATTAAAGTGACACCAAATTGACATTACCAAGTCTATTTTTTGTCTCGTATTATAAATGCAAAAGAGAAAATAACAACTAGGGAGAGCAGTGGACTGGAGCGGGGGCTGGGGAGTAGTCTCCACCACTATACCCCGCTTAAAAAAGTTTGTCCATCCCTGGTACACTCCCGGGGTTAATTTTAATCCCCATCCCAGCCCCACGGATATATTTTAATCCCCGCCACCCACAACCTCCTTCACCTCTGCCTGCCGCCCCGGCCCCGCTCATAACAATTAATTTCTGCAATTTTAAGAAAAAAATTGAAAAAAAAAAACATAACAATTAAAGTAGATAAACAATGCTTCAAAAAAGAGATATAACAAATTAATTGAGCATGACGCTTTGTTTAAAGTTTTAAATGAGCCGATGCAGCTCATCAACAGGATACACTAAAATGTAAATGAGAAATTATCTAGTTAATGCTTATAACCCCTGCAGCTCACAACCACAAGAACTGCCCAAAGAGTTGCAGATTGAATGGAGAAACATGAACTTTTTAGGATCAGTTCCCAACAAATTCTTTTAATTTCTCTTCTCTTTTTCATCCATTTCATGTCTTAATAAATAGCATAAACTACTATTGTACAGTTACCACAATAACAACAAATGTGAAATCATAATGCTACTGAAATGCACCCTATATTCGTCGGCAACATATCATTAAATCTACATTCTCACCAAATCATTTTAATTTTAACTAAAAACCATCTTTTTTTTAAAAGGAGGGTAGAAGGTAGGAGAAGAGAAAGAGAGAGAAGACAGAGAGTGAGAAGAGCAGGCATTACCTGGTCAGCGATCAGCGAGAGCGAGGGAGAAGGCAACGACGTCTTCTTAGCGAAGGGTAGGCGGAGGGTCGCTACTCGCCGAAGTTAGGAGGGTAGAGAGGGAGAGGACGAGGCGCCTGAATGAACGCAACTAGAGAGAGTGACCGTAGGCAGGGCAGTGGGCGGCGGCGTCTGAATTAGGATTTAGGGCCTGTGTCGTTTGGGAATATATATATATATATATATATAATCTGTGTTTCTACAAAAGAAAAAAATTTTATTAATTCAAAATTGTATTTACAGAGTCGAGTCCACATATAATAATAGACTAAGAAGTGGAAGAAGGACGGTTTATACAAGAAAATGATTTACCGATGGTGCAAAAGGGAAAGTAGAAAGGAGATGGTCAAGGGAGTTGGTAGAGAAGTGGGTGAGATAGAAAGGAGGTGTAGGAGTGGTCTAGGGACGGTGCTATACAAGTCGGGCCTGCACCCCTATATATAGAGTCGGACATGAAATCCGAATTTCAAAATAAAAAATATTATTCATAACTTTATATTATTCTTAGCTGTAATAAATTACAATGACGTCATAAATACTATACATTTTTTACTGTACACTATTTACAGTCTTTATAGTGACGTAAGGACATACGTTACTTCTTCGTATTGAAGCAAGGTCGTACGTCACGTCGTTGTAATGACGTCAGGACTTGCGTCACTTATTTCGGGTCGGCTTTATCCGATAAATCAACTTTATTTGATCATTTCCTGAAAAAAAAATAGACAACACATTATCTCTGTCATTATGGAGATTTATCTCCATATTATCATTTAACAAATTTTTGTTAATTTCAATATCACCTTTAAGAGGGATATATCCCTTGGAATTCATAAAATCGTTATTCTTGGGAATCCATAAAGTTGTCATCAGAATTAATAGGAGTAGGAGATTTCTTATTTTCTTCATCAACTTTATCTTTCCCTTTGCCTTTTATGGCAACTATAGGAGTGTTGACGAGACTCAGCTTTTCAATTTTGCTCATGTCAAAAGTAGACATGATCTGAAAACATAATTCATTCATAACTGTTGTTTTAAACTGCTCAGTATTTAAGTGAAGTTTTTCGTTTTTAATTAGTTCTTTAAGAACTCCAATAGAATTTAAATTAGTTCTAATATTTATACTAGTAGAGGGAACCATTGATGTAGAAAATGAAATTTT